ATAATTGTTTTCAATAAATTAAGTGGTTATCTTGTCTAAAATTTACCTACAAGGGGACCCAATTAAACGATTTTTAGTATTGCTGGGTCGAAAATATTGGGCTTGTGTCCCAGGGTTCTTGCCAATGGGTCCTCCGGGCCGAAAAAATTATTTAAAGTCATTCCCATTTTTTAAATAAGACTCTTCTTTTCCTGGATATGTATTTCAGGACTGTTAAATATCAATCGATTTGTTGTTTTATCTAGGATAATAAAATAATGAAGGATTTTACTGAATGAGAATAGACATATAAAAAATCGCAAAAACCAAAAGATGTATCAAAATTAGGAAAAAAAAAAAATTTTAAAACACAATTCGGATTCGTTTTAGGCACCTTATATCTTCAAAACTCTTAAATATTAATTTTTATAGCAAACATAAATATATATTATATACATAACTATATATTTTTAGTTAATTAAGGTTTTTAGTTGAGATAAAAAAGTCAGAGTCACGAGCGGGATTCGAACCCACGATTTTCGGCTAGATACGCCGCTTCTCTACCACTTGAACTATCGTGATTTCGATCCACTCGGACACTAACTTCCCTTCTCAACTCCACCTTTTGAATTTTCCCTCCTTTTTGCCATTTTTCAAATGTCGTGTATTCGAAAAATGGCAAAAAGGAGGGAAAATTCAAAAGGTGGAGTTGAGAAGTGAAGTTAGTGTCCGAGTGGATCGAAATCACGATAGTTCAAGTGGTAGAGCAGCGGCGTATCTTGCCGAAGGTCGTGGGTTCGAATCCCGCTCGTGACACTGACTTTTTATCTCAACTAAAAACCTTAATTAACTGAAAGATATTAATTGGTCAAGCGGACCACGAAAACTAGTGAATTTTTAGGTTATTTAAGCCTGGGTATTTTTTCTCCGATGTCCATTGTCCCATTTAATAAATTCCTAACTACATTCGACTTAATCCAAATTCTACTTTATTACAACCCTTGGAAAGCTGAATGTTTCTAGTGCCTGGTTATGTCAACCATATAATGATTTGAGTCATTATAAGTGAGAAAAATTATCATGAAATTAACAAAAACTCCTAAAACTTTTATTTTATATCTCCAATTCTAATTTATTTACTGAGGCTAAAGTTATTTCGTTAGGTGTAATTTAAAGGTTTCTAAATCGCGTAAAGTTTCCTGTGGATCCGTGGAACTGTTTCCATGAATTGCCTACTTTGTGTTTTTGAACAAAAATCTGAGGCATTTGGCAGAGGCGAAAAAAAAATCAACTTTGCTTCTTGGTATTTTAATATCAAAATATCCAGAGTGGCAAAAAAAGTATGATTCTTCAGTGGAAATAAAGGTGCAAAATATTCATTAGATTTCGTGGTCCGATTGACCAAATAACTTCTTTCAATTAATTAATCTTTATGTAAGCTATGTGTAAGCTATCTTTATGTATGTATGTGTAGGTTGAGATAAAAAAAGCCAGTGCCATGAGCGGGATTCGAACCCACGACCTACGGCTAAATACGCCGCTGCTCTACGGAAGGTCGTGGGTTCGAATCCCGCTCTTGGCACCGGCTTTTTTATCTCAACCAATACCTTACATAAAGGTACAAAATATGTTAAATAGATTTTAAAAATGGGCAGCTTGCGAAAAATCGCTAGAGATATCAAAAACAGACTTCAATGATTTTCTGAGTTTTACGATTAAAAAATTGTCGATGTTCATTTAAACTGAGATTAAAAGAAACATAAAGCCACGTAGAAATGACGTTAATTTAAAAATTACAAACCAAATGATGCACGAATTGATTTGCTAGTTTTGCAAAGAAGGCGAAATAATTCCGGTTTTCCGTAGTGGAATCAGCAACCCGGCCATTTCCGTTAGAAACGACGGAACAGGGAAAGGATATATCCTGCCCTGCGCGCTTTGAAGTGTGAGAAAGCTGCATAATGTTATAATAATATTAACGAGATCTCTCTATTATATTATAATCGTCAGTGTTAGTCAGCAGTCGTTTTTGTTTTTAAAATAAACTAACTTTAAACAATAAACAACTACAACTATTTATTTTATGTGTGGGGTTTAGTGGCCGTTTAATGATTATTTGAAGATCGTGAGATGCGGTCTGGTGTGACGTAGAATTCAGAAAAACATTTTCTTTATCGTGCCAACGTTTCGACCTTTATTGAGATCATCTTCAGGCTGAAAGTGTTCGTTTTCTGCGTAGATGTGTCATTCTACACAAACCACAAGAATGACACATCTACTCAGAAAACAAACACTTTCAGCCTGAAGATGATCTCAATAAAAGTCGAAACATTGGCACGATAAAGAAAATGTTTTTCTAAAACCTGCGTCACACCAGACCTGCATCTCACGATCTTCAAATAATTATTTATTTTATCATGAACTTATTTTTAACAATTGAAATTAAAAACTATCCAGGGAAATTCTATTAAGTTGATTTAAACATGTACATAAAGCTAATAATCAAACAGCCCGGTAAAAGAGGAAATAGTTCTACATTTAACGTAGATAAATGTGAAACAAAAGTAAAGGACAAACTGATTACATTGTGTTTAAAAGTGAAAGCACGTCTTTTGAAATTGTGAAACTCATACCAAAACTGAAAATAATTTCACATGGCACATATGAACGAATTAATGACATGCAAACTATTCCTTTCATCAATGACAGCTGTCACAAATTTACTGATAAAATTTTTAATGTGTCTTTCATTTGGTTAATCCTCAACTATTCTTCACTTACAAAAGTATTTTACATGCTATGAACTATGCGATAAACTTTAGCATTTAAATAAATTAAAGATAATATCTTCATATGATCATTTGTCAATGTTAATGTTTATGTCAAAAATCATGACATCTATCGCAATTTTACTGTTCTTGAATAATAAATAATAGATTTTATAAGCACACAAAACTCTTTTAATTAAATCATCAAGAAGAAAATCATAATATAAACATTTCAATTTTTTCAAACATTTTAAATATTTAAAAAGTCCAAACAGAAGTGTTCTGGTATAAGCAATGCCACCTGTGGGAAAGAATTGGACTTAAAATCTTGAACTTGTGAAGTTACTCTTTTCTATTTCTTATAAGTTATAACAAATAACGTAGTTTATGGAATACCATCATTGATTTTCATATCAATCGATATATGATTTCTGTTATGGCTTCATTGCTCACATGAATGTGAGATTATTTGTATAGAATAAAAAAGTATAAATATTAAATAAGTACTGTTTAATATTTACACATTCGATCAAATATATTAACTCGTCAATGTTGGATGAAATGATGTCCAAGTTGCCAAAATCTATGTAAATTTTATGTAACAGTCTACATGCCAAATAGAGATAACTGAAAAATACAAATCATGGATTGAAGTGAAAGCCAAAGGTAAGAAATCAAATAGATGTGTATTAATAATGCATAAATGTTAATTTAGAAACTGTTTTTATGCATTGAATGCATCACATTGACCTCATCGATGAGTATAATGGCATCAAATGTTACCTACAATGAATTAGCAAGTGTATACAGGGGGGTTTTATTTTGACACCCACTTTTCTAAAAAAATGATGGGTTATGAAAAAAAATTCTTTTTTCCCAAGGGTTAAAATAAATGGTCTAAACATTTCTCTAATATCACAGTACTAGGTAGTAGAATATGAACTTTATTTTCTCAAATGAGACCTATCGAGTTTTGATACATTTTCATACCGAGATGTATCATTAATTTTGTAGCATCAACACCCGAATACTTCAAAAAACTAAATAATCCGTTTTTTATCATTTTTCAAATTAGGACAATTTTCTTCTAGGTGTGCGATATGAGAACAGCTGACGAGACTTTTCCTTTTCCATCCTTTCTATAAACACTACTAAATAATAAGATGAAAAAGATGGTTCTACTCACAAACTGGATTTCTTTTTACTGCAAAAACGGTTTGTTAGTAGAACCATTATTTTCAACCAATGTATTGATATACAAACTACACCTTAAATAATTCTACAACTAAATTAAGTTAAAATAAGGTGAACTATGAATCAAATAATGATAACTTTGGAAAATGGCCAAAAGGGGAAAAACGCCCAGTTTTAGCTTTTACTTATTCTCTAATTTCAGGAGTTTTTACATTTTTTAATCGTTTCTTTTGCCATAAATTAATTATTCAACCAAGTCCAAGTTAAAATAAGGTGAAATATGAATAAAATAATGACAACTTTGGAACATGGCCAAAAGGGGCAAAACGTTTCACCTTTTACTTATTCTTTAATTTCCGCACTTTTTACATTTTTTATTTGTTTCTTTTGTCATAAGAATATTCTACATAGNGGGGGGGGTTATTGTGAAAAAAGGGCCAGAGGCGACGGTGGGAATCGAACCCACGACCGCGGCGTGAGAGTCTCTCATGCTTACCACTCGGCTACCGCGGTCCCCTAGCCTTACCTTATTTTCTCTTTTCTGGACTTTTTATATATCTTATTCATTCCTTTTCTATAGTGTCCTATTTGATATACCGTCTTGTTGAGTCAATTGGGATAACAATTAAACTCGTAAACCATGTTGTTTTAGAGAAAAACAAAGAAAAAAATTGTTTTATTCCATGCTGTCCGTGGACACGAAAAAAAAAATTGTTTTATTCATGTAGACCTGCTGCGTCGAATGAAAATAATATTAGGTTTGTAAACCAAGTAGCTTTCAAGAAAAATAAAAAAATGATTAAACATTCGTTTTGCATTATTCGATGTAAAACCGCCTGCTGGGTTGACTGGAACGAGAATTAGGTCTGTAGAAGAAGTAGTTTTTGAGAAAAATGTGACAAAGGCTTTAGGAGGGGGGATTTTGTAGTCTTATTAGATGTAGTATGATAATCAATGGAGGATTATCTACGGGATAATTATAAGTATTAAGGGTGGCCACTTTTTTACCTCCCTTTTTTTGTGAAGATAGGTTGTCAAGTTTAAAAAAAAAAAATCATCTATTATTGGACGAATTTATTTATATGAATTGTTTTCATAATGAAACTCTTATAAAAGAATTTAAAATAAATGTAGAGTAACAATAGCAGAAATATACAAAGTCAATTTATATTACATGAAACAACCACTGCTCCAGAAAGTATAAATCATCACCATTTATGTTGGTTGTATTCAATTTTACTTAAGCAGTAAAGTTTTATCGTTTTTAAAATTAAGTCTTTTATTGATTTTCCTTTTTTAATTATAAACAAAACACTGTACTGAAGGAAAATTAGGTGATTTATGAAGAAACAAGACACTAGCTTGTTTTAAACTTGCGTTTACAGAATTTTTCACCATTTGATTTCTTACTTTTGTCAAGAAATTATAATTTATTTAGATATGTCAATGTATTTTCCTCTTTCATTAAATGCAATGCAGAATTAATTAAAGATTTTCTTTTCTTTTTTTATTTATTTTTTAAGTACAACAAAATTAATCTTTATATGATATAAATATGTACAAACGTACTTTCCAATGTACACTCATAATTATATTCAGTTGTAAAAATAATTTATTGTTAATTACCATCAAAAAACTTTTTTTCTGTTATTACAATATTGACCTTTTCTAAGCACACAATGGTAGGATAAAATACGTAATATACAATAAGATTCATATTGGTTTAAGTATTAAAATATATTTGTATTATTTGCAATAATGAGGGTTTCTGTTGAATCTCAAAATTTTGGAGAAAAAAACTTCAATATTGAAACTTGAAAATAAAGAAAAAGAACAGCAACTTGGCAATATAACTTTGGCAATTTTTCTTTTCAAGTTGAAATTGGAAACTATATTTCTTTTCTTGGCCTTTTTTTATGTAGGCCAAATTTTCCTTACTTCTTTATTGACTTTTCATTTTTATTATTTCAATTCCAGCTCCATTTTTTGAAAGGATTTTAATTTATATTCAATTGTGTGAGTGTCAAGTCAATAAGAAGTTTCTCTTTTTATACAGAATTAATTAAAAAAAAAAAAAAAATGTTAGTTCTTAGTTACTTCCATATACCACTTATATTTTATAAATACAACATTCATTCAATTTTCAAGTATACAATGTATAAACAACAATTCTGAAGGGAAAAAAGAAACAATAATTAAAAGGATATTTACAACAAATTCATACAATAAATATACAAAAGTATGAAGATCGCAGTCTGGATCCACAACAAAAATTTTTTTTAGAATCTCTCCGATTATTGCTAAACAGTCGCTTTATACCTATTTGTACAATTTGGCGACCTCTATACACAAATCCTCTTTTAATTTAATAATATAATCATAATATTAATAATAAAATAATAATAAACAAAAATCACTCTTTTGTAATAAAAAATAATAATTTCCAAACTAAAATTTAAGTACTAAAAAATTTTGGTTATCACAGTGAACATCAAATTTTGTCTAGAGAAAATGGTCAAGGCAGGGAATAATTACTAGACGAGGAATCCTTCGGAGAGGTTGGCAGAGATTTGGGCTCGCATTGCCTGTACACTGTTCATTATTTTCTTCTGGTGACCGACAAGCGTTACGCCGAGCGAGGTGAGCTCAGTCACCGTAAGACGTACGACTGCCTCCAATGTCGTAATTCCACCCTGCTCAAAGTTATCGGCATACCTGGACATCTTAATCGAGGCTAGCCAGTCGCCAACAGAAAGGAACTGGGTCATATCAGGTGCATCTGGTGCGAGTGGATTCCCCGTCCTGAAAATATTAAAATAAATATTACTCGAATAAGAGAATAAATTTAAAAATAAATTTCAATATTATTTAAACAACCTTTTATGAGTTAAAATTACTTAGTAAATAAGTTCTAATTGTTAATCCATATTACAGTATGATGTGATCATAATTAAACTGTTTTCAAATTTCATGCACAACTGGGTGTAGTTTTTGATTATTTTCAAAATAAATTTGCGATTCACTTAAGTATGACATACTAAAAAAGTTGGAAGCAGAACTAAAGAAAGCATGCACATAGAATACAATTTCCATGCAACCAGATACCAGGAGAAGTAATAAACATACACAAAATGCAGCAATTTCTAGTAAATTAAACTCAATTTCTTTTTGTCAATCAGCAAAGGTAATTAAATATTGTGTGTTAGTTATGAAACGGGTTATTACTTTGCCCTTCATAAATACTATACAATTTAGAGATAGTTTTGTGTACATTTAACATTTTGAGAACATTCGTCTGTTTAGAACTCCCACAATGGTTGCCTTAAAGTTTACATTACAAAACTACATGAAAATGTACAGGTTTTCCAATACGAGCGACACACTTTAGGTGAAGTTTGTAAATGATTAATGAAGGCTACACTTCAACGACAGGGTCTAAAATTCTATCAAAATGCTCTTGCACTTGTCTTATTAGAAATGCGGTTGATATACCTTTTGCAATTTGCTTAACATATTATTCCTTTCCTTATTATTCGTGGTGGAAGGCGACCCAGTGTGGGGCCCTAAATGTAACCGGGACGTAATACGGGTTTACAGGTAGTGGTCGTCTTATTTAGAAAAAAAACAAACAAACAAACAAATAAAACAAAGAAATAAAGAATATCATTGAACTCAAGCTAAAAATTGTAAACAGACAGTCAACAAAATTAAATGCAAAACAAAACAAAAAAGTAAGTAAAATTTCTTTAAACTAAAATCATGTTATATTATGTCGATTTTTTAAAATTAGATCGCTTACTTCCAAAACCTTAGAGTTAATTTTCAAGATTAAAGAAAAAACTTTCATTTGTTGTATTTCCAAAATTCTTTATTGAAAGTTGTTAAATAAATATTAACTCTTAATTATTATAATAACTATTAATTAAGGTTTTTAGTCGAGATAAAAAAGTCAATGGCACGAGCGGGATTTGAACCCACGACCTTCGGCTCTACCACTTGAGCTATCGTGACCTTGATCCACTCAGACACTAACTTCCCATCTCAACCACACCTTTTGAATTTTCCCTCCTTTTTGCCATTTTTCAAATGTCGTGTAATCTATTTGATTCTTGACGACAAATGAAATGGCCACGGAGAGCTTTAGTGAAGGTATACTTCATTTTTACTTATTAAATTCACTAGTTTCATGGCTTGTTAAAATCTTACAATTAATTAAGGTTTTTAGTTGAGATAAAAAAGTCAACGGCATGAGTGGGATTCGAACCCACGATCTTCGGCTTGATACGCCGCAGCTCGACCACTTGAGCTAACGTGCCATTGACTTTTTATCTCAAATAAAAACATTAATTAATTGGCCAAGCGGACCATGAAACTAGTGAATTTAATAAATATTATAATAGAACTGGGTAAGCGACATTGAAACATGACTACATGAGATGAATATTAATTAGCCATTTGCAAATAAGCAAGAGTTAGAAGTAAGCGATAAAGCAAAATTATTTCAAAAGCATGCACTTTTAATGAAAAGATGTAAAAAGAATGTTGAATGATACCTGTTTTGGGCAACTTTCCGAAGGGTATCAGGACACCTAATGAGCTTATCTAATGTTTTAACTATAGACCCAAATGTAGGCCTGTGTGTCCTCTCTTTCTGCCATGTGTCTAGCATTAGCTGGTAAATTGCCTCAGGGCAATCCATTGGTGCTGGTAACCTACGGGCCAATTCATCAGTCACAACAGTTTTTAATATTTACTAGGTAAAAATCTTTTAAACATACCTATATCCTTTTTCAATAGATTTGATAACGTCTTGGTTGCTCCAATTCCAATAAGGTCGTTCCCCGTAAGACATGACTTCCCAACAGACTATACCAAATGACCAGACATCAGATGCAGATGTAAACTTCCTAAAAGCTATCGCTTCTGGTGCTGTCCATCGGACTGGAATTTTACCCCCCTGAAAAGTGACATTGAGATGAATTTCTGATATGGACTGGTTTGAACAGAGTAATCGTCGCAACTCACCCTTGTTGTATAAGCTCCCTCAGTCGTACTTTCAATTTCTCTGCTAAGACCGAAATCTGCAATTTTACACACTAATTGGGAATTGACGAGTACATTCCTGGCGGCCAGGTCCCTGTGTACATAGTTCATCTCTGATAGGTATTGCATACCTGATGCAATGCCTCGCAACATCCCTACTAATTGAACTACTTGGAATTTACCATCATTTGCCTGTAAAAATAAACCTATTTAGTATTCTAAAGTAAAATCAAAATAAAATACTTAAAATGAAACGCTTACTCTTAAAAATGTATCTAAAGATCCGTTTTCCATATACTCAGTTATTATTAAAACTGGATTTGACTTAGTGACTACTCCCTGAAGGAAGATGACGTTGGGGTGTTCAAACTGACCCATAATGGACGCTTCGGTGAGGAAGTCGTTCCTCGCCTTATCCGCACTACCGGATTTCAACGTTTTGATTGCCACGTCTATTTCTGACCTTCCGTCTGGTGGGAGTTTCAGTTTGCCTCGGCAGACGTCTCCAAACTCACCGCCGCCTTAAAGATATCCAACAGTTAGTTATGTACAATTGATTTATACCAATGACTCTTACCAATTATTGCTTCTATGTTGATATAAGATGCGTCGATCTCTCTGGCAAACTCCTTGACAGCTTGATTCGGATCTTCATAAGTGTGAGGGTCAATATAAGTCCTCGAAGCTGTTGATCCGACTTGAGTGAAAAGTGGTGTTGTCACTATGGTAAAAAAAAATCATATTTTAATCCTCAACAAAAGACAGATAAACAACATGATTCAATGATGTTTTCAAGTTTTATTATAATTAAGAATAGGCATTATACATTAGTATAAGAATACAGGTTATAAAAACATATCGTTTAAACGAAAGTTCCCAATCCATTTTTATAGAATTTCATGGATAAAAAGTCCTAATGTAAGAATATCGTTAATAACAACACCCTTAATGACGAAAAATAAACTTTAAATTGCTTAAAAGAACATCCAGGACTACCATTTCAATTCTAAAGGTTAGGATGAAAGACATTTTTGAAAAATGGTTACTGAAAGTTCTTTGTAAAAAACAAAGGAAATCCTCCTTCTTGTGGACACTGCCCAGCTGTCCCATCAATGGTATTCAAGAAATTAAATTTTGCTTCCCATCAAAATGTTGGTGTTATTGATGGACCAAGAAATGATAAAATCATAGAAAGTTAATTTAAGAAAACAGTTTTACAAATCATTGATAACATTGAAAATAAGAGGATACTGAATATTTCAATATTGGATGCCTATCATTATGCCAGAAAAGGCATGAAATTGTGCAAAACCTTCTATGATTTATAATTGGGTTTGGCAATACTTCCATCTCTCAAATTCAAGATGTTATTGAAGAATCGCTTCAATACTGGGCCCGAGATTTCACAATTGAGCAGGACGTTCTGGGATTTGGAGACAGTCTTGAATCTTACAACTCGTAAGAATATAACGGATGAAGAAATTGTTGCAGGAATAAGTGCAGAAGTTTCTAGCAGGTAAAATAATGAAAAGCTTCCTGACAAATTTTTTTGCCAAAGTGTAAAAGAAATGTTAACTGTGGTGAATATTAGTAACCAATTTTGTGCTTGCAACAATGATATCTATTTTTCATGAAACCAATGAATTTTGTATAATAACATCAAACATTAATTGCATTTTTTTGTGTGTGTTTATTCTTAAACTTTAAGCATTATTTTCATATCTATGTACATGAAATTTATCAGCATTCCCAGTATTTTAAAGTTAACTACCTGATATAAGGACTAACGTTTATAAGAACCAAGTTCTTAAGTCCCTTGGATATTCTTTCAAGGTTAATTCTGTACTACAAAAATAATTATGCGAAAGCAAGTCCTTATAAACTGTTTATTATGTTATATAGTTATACAAACATTGATTGAAAAATATTGAATTGTATAGTGAAGTTTACTTGTATCATTTCGAATAAAAGTATGTTGAATATAAATTCAATTTTAATCGGTGAAAAAATCAGTACATTTGGTGATCCAATTATAAAAACTGAAAAGGTTTGCTACATATTTTAAAATATTAAATAATTTCAATTAATTATTCTTTTTATGTAAGGCTTTGGTTGAGATGAAAAAGTTAGTGTCACGAGCGGGATTCGAACCCACGACGTTCAGGCCAATACGCTGCTGCTCTAACCACTTGAGCTTTCATGACTTCGATCCACATGGACATCAATCACCGTCTCTACCTACAACCTTTCGTATTTTCCCTCCTTTTGTCATTTTTCAAGGCATAATAGCTCAAGTGGTTAGAGCAGCGGCGTATTGAGCCGAAGGTCGTGAGTTCGAATCCCGCTTGTGACACTAACTTTTTCATCTCAACTAAGACCTTACATACAAAGAATAATTAATTGAAATAAGTAATTTGGTCAATTAGACCACTAAGCATAAATGTATTAACATAAAATAACACTGACTGAATTTTAAACAAAATTTAACATAAAATAACTGTATTCCAAATTTCCAATTTAGTCCAATACCTAAGAAGGTTAAGTCATTTCAGTCTTTAAAATTTCTATGCATTTGTTTCTAATTTTAAATAAAACATTCAGAACGGTGATTAATTTAATAATTGTGCAGCAAATATAATGAAACAACTATCTAACAGGGTCAGATCTAAAATGGATTTAAAAAATTATTTCTAGCCATATTTGACAACCTAAATTTATTTATACAGCTTTATGTTTGAATTATTTGTTAATTTAACTTTCATATACGAATAAAAGATATTAGTTGGAAAACAAACTCCTCATGCTCAATCCAATAAGTAATCATAACATAACGAACAGGTTAAAACATTCCAAAACTGGTTTTTTGAATAAATTGATATAGGGGAAAAACTGTTAGTGTTATAAAAAAAAAAAATTTTAATTTAAAAAATTAAAAATTAAAAAAAACAATTGCAGGATTCTACTTACTGCCATTCGTGTGGGTCGCAACAATTGAAGGATTATCCAAATTGCAGTGCACTAAAATCACAAAACACACTAGGGATGTACAAAAAGCAAAAAGCAGACAATAAGCATAACAATTAATAACAAAAAAGATCAAATGAAGAAAGTATTGTTGAAGGATTTTTATGAACTAAAAAATTTCCTTATTTTTTCTTTATTTTTCTTCCTCCCCTAGTATCTCCCAAGGTAATCAGGTGAAAAGAGAAAAATAAGAAGAAAAAAACCTGGAGCAGTCAGGAGGAGACAGAGAAGGATGGGTGGAATAATAATTAATTCTAATTGGAATGACATAAACGTGCAAAAATTTTAATAAGCATGCTTCGGTGTTGATAAACTTACTGTATGTAACAACTAATCCTGGAAGACATGTAATTAATTGGGTTGTGTTAGTTAAGCAAATTCATTTTGGGTGTCATTTTTAAATTTGGTATACTATTTATGCTGCTTACTCGGTAACTAATATTTTATGCAGGCTAATATAAACTAAGCGTATTCAATTATTTAACAGAAACTATTTTAAGAACAAATTTTTTTTTAAATAAAGCAAATAGATTTTTTTTTTAAGAACAAAGAAAATTATTATAAATAAAGCATGTGACAATTTGTGATGTAGTTATATAAGAATATAATTAATGTCTTTAAATTAATTAAGGTTTTTAGTTGAGATAAAAAAGTTAGTGTCACGAGCGGGATTCGAACCCACGATCTTCGGCTAGATACGCTGCTGCTCTACCACTTGAGCTATCGTGACTTCGATCCACTCAGACACTAACTTCCAATTTTTATCTCAACCAAAAACCTTACATAAAAATAACAATTATTTGAAAGAAGTAACTTGGTCAATTGAACACTAAAATGTAAAATAGATTAATATTTAATAAGTCGCTGAGAATTGAATCCTGACTGAGAATTGAATCCTGATTACACAACATATGAAAATGGCAAAAAGGAGGAAAAATTTGAACGGTTGTAGGTTGAGAAGGAGAGTTGGTGTCCGAGAGGATCGTCTAGCCAAAGATCGTGGGTTCGAATTCCGCTCGTGACACTGACTTTTTTATCTCAACTAAAAACCTTAATTAATTAAAAGACATTAATTGGTCAAGCGGACCACGGAAACTAGTGAATTTAATATAATTAATGTTATTTTTTAAGAAACTTTGCTGCAAAATGAAAAAAAAAAATAGTGAGGTTTCAGAATTTTTGAAATTTTCCATGCTTGCGATGTGATTTCATGTGTTAATAATCAATAATTCCATAAAATAAATAAACAATTTTCACAAATATTTTGTTGGCTAATTAAAAAATATTAAAATTATATTAAAGATAAAAGAACGTACCTTCTCCATTTCTATATTCCAGTGTGTCACAATCGCTTGGTTGTTTCTTGTTACACTCATCGTTACCACGGCTGAATGAGAAAAAAATCATGAGTTCATTATAATGTTTTTCATTATTATGATGTTTATTAAAAAAAAAAAATTAAACTACCTTCTAAGAAATATAACAGTCATTATAATAATTAGGACTAGAAGGACCACAACAGTGACAGTAGCTCCAGCAATTATCTTGACTTGCATATTGTCCTCATCTCCTATGTATGCCGCAGAAACGTAAAGAATTAATTTGTATTAGAAAGGTTTTTAATGGCTGTTAATTAACGATTATTTAGAAAATCGTGAGATGCAGTCTGGTGTGTTGTAGGTTTAGAAAATAAACAAATAAATTCCAACAGGAATACATAAAACACAGTACAAAGCACAAATACTTTGATTAAGCCAAAAATTTCTATATTGTGTACATCATTGTATAAATTCTTATCTATCTTGTATGTACTTAAATTGCAATGTTTATAAATCCCAGGCACTGAAGATGATCGCAATAAAGATTGAAACATTGGCATGCTAAAGAAAATGTTTTTCTAAACCTACACCAGACTGCATCTCACGATCTCTAAGTAATAATTAGTTAGAAAAAATTGAGGTTAATTTACCTGTATCCAAAACCTGCCCTGTGGTTTTGTAAACTGGCATTGAAAATTCACCCCAGCCGTGGGTGGTTTTTGCCCTGACTTGAAATCCGTATTCGGTACGTTGCTTCAATGAGTTGAAAGTCGCTTTCTGCTCCACTGTGAGCTTGCTTGTTCCATTTGTGTCATCATGTTTCGAGAAGCATCTCACCTTTAAGTAAAAATAATGTTGTATGCAAAATTTTGAAAATTTGTTTAGGTATTTGGTGACATTGTACCTCATAGGTTTCAACTTGAACTTCGGCTTCTGGGTCAGGGGAAATTGGCGGATCCCACGCGAGCGATATTTCAGCAGCTTTCACAGCAGTCACCCTGACATTGTGGACTGAGGCGAAAGTGACAGAAGCCTCGGTTGTAACTGTGATGTCCACAAATTCGCCTTCACTCCCTGCAATCTCACTTACACCGTTCATTGAGTATACTTTAAATCGGTACATCGTGACTGGGCTCAGTCCACTGATGGTGATTTTTGTATCTTTAAAAGTTGCCTGTGAAGGAATAAAATGTTTAAATAGACAGCAAAAAACAAAAAAGTCAAGTTTGATTTACCGTTGCTGGAATGTAAGCCACAGCCTGCCCGCAGACTTCGCACTGCAAACGGTACATTGTATCTGTTCGGTCACCCAAGAAGCTTGGTTCAGACCAAGATAAAATCACAGTTGTTTGATCGATGAAATTGACTGTGAGGTTCTGCGGAGCAGTTGGAGGTTCTATAAAAGGATCAGTGGTTATTACAATTTCATTCCATACAAATTAATTTTAAACTAGTTTATTACAAACAATAATTTTATAATTTGCTAATGGCTGAAAAGGTTGAATTAGTACAATAAATAAATTAAAACCTTTCTACTTTCATGACAAAGACCATTTATTTATCATGGTTGACAGGGAAGTGCCTCATTTTTCTTAAAACGGAAATAATTATGATTAACAAAACAAAATAAAACAGAACAGAGCCCATGTTCGATCGAAACTAAGCCTCATGAAAAGGGGAGTTTATTGCTAACAACCTATGGGAACAGGAAACGGGAAATTAGTGCTATTACACTATCAATGACGAATCTAAACATAACAGCTTCGACCTGTTCCAGACATAGCTCTATTAACGCTATTGCTGTTATTAATGGCGAATTGTGGGAAGTAAATTATCCTCTTTTTATTAAAATAACACATTTTCAGGTGAAACCGGCATGGTTTCCTCAACAGCCCAAAGTTGATTAGTAAAACAGAAAAATGCTTAAGATCGTCAGAAGATATTTCAAGACGGAGTGAACCGCTAATAATGAAAATAGCAGAATTCATCATGCCCATGGAACGAAAGCCAAGAGATAAGCACGTCGATTACACATTAATTTAAAACATAATAGTTTTTGGATCAATACAGGACCTTTTATGCTAATGTTGTGTTGTTGACAGTGATGACACGAGTCCTGGTATGAATGCATGATCATTCACGTCCAAAACACAAGCATGATTGATTTGTCATGTTAAATTAAATAGAGCTTCATATTCGACAAGGTTCATATTTATTCTGGAAGCGAAGATTTTACATATTAATCCATACAAGTTTAGCGGTCATAACTGACCATATTAGGCCGAAGGTCGTGAGTTCCAATCCCGCATTTCTTGTAAAGAGTATATTTTTTTAAATGAGGGAGTGATGTGAAAATAGGATGAAAATGTTTACTTAACTGCGATATATTTGAATGGATAATGGAATTGGTTCATTGAAGTAAAAGTTCCAACGATCGTTACAACCACGGGGGGTGGCATTGTGTCGCTGCAAGGTAATTCGGGGGTGGCTCCTTGTGATCGCCTCCACCACTGTTCCAACAACTTTGTCGTTTCCATTGCAACGCTTTTGAAGTTTTCAAAGGAGGAAAGCTCGATGAAAATTCTGCCGGTAATGAACGAGAGCGTCGACGTTTTCATCGCAAACGCATTTCCACCCGTTTTGAGACGGCTGGGAGAGAGGCTGTTTTTCAAATCCTTCAATTGAATCCTTCTGGGGGAGGGCGAAAGCGCTTTGAAAAGAGGTAATACACTTTGGAGTTTTCCCCAACTTCGACGTGAACTTCTTCGAATGTTTAAATTGTTTCTCCTCACCATTAGAGCCGGGTCGCCAATTAAAAAGTTCAGCCCTTAGTTTTGCCCTTCTTTAAATTTTGAAAAGTCGCGTTCCTGAGGGCCGAACGACCCGATAGGGGCATTTAGTCGATGTTATATATCAAATATCACAAAGAATACGTCCGATTGTTCCTACTATACCAAAATTTAAGCGGCTTTTGAATACTGAAGATTGTAGAAAAAGGAGAATGAGTTTCTCGGAAAAACCATTGTCCATTGAAGCACCGCTAGCACAAAATGAGTTAACCATTAACTACGATAAATAAATACGATTCTAGATTGTGCTTTCTTTCAAAACTTATATTTAAAAGTCAATTTAATTATCTCTTGACAAGAAAGGAAACACCACTTGAAAATAACCCTCATCCTACAGGCTACGGGCACTTGCTTGCAACCAAAGTCAACAAAACAAGCTGTATACAGATACCCATAAAATAGAAAATTTGAATTGCAAATATTAAAAATATCATATATGCTATATGATATCTCTAAACAAACAATATTTTATTGTGAAATTTCTTCTTGAGCTCTGCGGGGTGATGAACCTGACAGACAGACCAAACGGAAACGACCGAACTACATTCACGCGTGATTTATTTAAAACTTGTTCACCACACAATTTGGGCAAAATGGAAAGGGACGAAATAATAGTATAATAAAGTGAGAAGTTTATGGGCCGATAGAAAGCTAAGGTGATCGCCGGCCCTCTGCGTGTTTTCCTTCTTTTTCTCTTCTTTCGCGAGTATTTTGTTTTAACTGCAGCCATTTGAGTGTCTCGACCTGGTTACTGACTCTCTGATTTCAAATATATACTACGTTGATATCCTAGAATGCTAGTCTTCGGGGCGGGGTTATAAGCAACCCCTTACTTTCACGCTAATAAATTACTTTTTCTCTCCAGACGTCATACACTCATCCCAGAGTACTCGATATTCCTCGGGGCGGGTTATAAGCAACCCTCTTCCTTTCACGCTAATAAATTACTTTTACTCTCGAGAAGTCATACACTCATACTCGATATTCCTCGGGGCGGGTTATAAGCAACCCTCTTCCTTTCACGCTAATAAATTACTTTTACTCTCGAGAAGTCATACACTCACCCCAGAGTACTCGATATTCCTCGGGGCGGGGTTATAAGCAACCCTCTTCCTTTCACGCTAATAAATTACTTTTTCTCTCCAGACGTCATACACTCACCCCAGAGTACTCGCTATTCCTTGGGACGGGGTTATAATCAATCCCTTCCTTTCACGCTAATAAATTACTTTTTCTCTCCAGACGTCATACACTCACCCCAGAGTACTCGCTACTCCTCGGGACGGTGTTGTAAGCAATCCCTTCCTTTCACGCTAATAAATTACTTTTTCTCTCCAGATGTCATACACTCACCCCAGAGTACTCGCTACTCCTCGGGACGGTGTTGTAAGCAATCCCTTCCTTTCACGCTAATAAATTACTTTTTCTCTCCAGATGTCATACACTCACCCCAGAGTACTCGCTATTCCTTGGGACGGGGTTATAAGCATCCGCTTACTTTCACGCTAATAAATTACATTCATTGCAGTTAATTAACACAAACACAACACTCGATAGAAACAAAGAAGTCCAGTTACATTCAAACCCCTCCCCCCCCTAGTACTCCATATTCCTCGGAGCGGGGTTGAACCCTCTCCACTCTCGCTAGTAACTTATAACAATAAATCACCCCTTCCTTTCATGCTAATAAATTACATTCATTCCAATAAATTAACATAAAGTCAAACACAGACACAACACAAACATACATTTAACGATCCCTATAATCCTGAGGTACCGGAAAAGCGATCTGTGCCCGCTGCCGTGCCCCAAGGTCCGATGATATGCCAAAATATTGTCTATGTACATCAAGCCTTCTACAATTGAATAGGTGCTCTACCGTTATTCTATCCTTGCATAACGGTCACCGACGCGGTCGCTTTCCGGCCAGAAGGTGCCCGTGCGTTATTCTTGTATGACCTATGCGTAGTCTTGTATAAATAATAGTATAAGCTGATGATTAAAATTGACAAGCATAGCCGGGGCATGAATGAAACATTATTAATTTGAAATTTTATTTCAATTCTACCTTAATTGTTTCCAGATCATGGATGGCATAAATAAATAAATGAATAATTTTTGATTGGTTAAATTATTGGGCAGATATTTGAGTCGTTGACACCTACAACGAACTGCGATTTGGGGAGAAGGAACGAAGATATCGACCAAAAGGTATCTGGGTTAATGAGGGACCACTCGAGGCGGGCCCTGTCAGTGCTACCTCACTCGAACCAAGGTCTAGCCGGTTTTAATTTGGCATGCGGGCAAAGCCCAGGGAGAAAATTTCAACAAAAGCGCGATAAGATGCCGGTGGTTGGCTTAGTTTTTTTTCCTATGCCGGCAAACCTCCTGGTTTGAAATAGGCCAAATAGAATTTTGCCTTAACCCGGGTAAGAGATTAACTGCTATCATTGTGATTCGTCCCGATACAAACTTTACTTTGGGCGTATTATATCGTCTCTTGACTTCTTCAGAAGCGTTCGAAACAATAGAGACATTTCCACTCCAATTACGCCATTTTCGGGTCCTGAAGGCGCACGTCGTCCAATAAATTGGAACTTGGGTTTAGCTGACGAAGATAACAGCCCAGAAAATACCACCTATTATCGACGAACTGTAATCCTACACTTTTTCCAAAAATAATTCCTCTACCTTCAAATCAGTTTAAAAGCAAATTGATAAGTTGGATAAAACTATTTTCGGAAATAGATTATATTAGCCTTAATTTGCGAAAAGCATTTTTTTATCGTCTGGTCGCTCTTTCATCTTCATCAAAGAGTCTTATCTAAACTGATACGAACTTCCAGTTCTGCTCGCGAGCAATATTTTATTAGTGCTGAGGCCGAACCGGGGCATCTCGGCCATCCGCTCGAACAGGAAATACATTTTAACAGTGCTGAATGTACAAATCCTTCTGGCGGTATTTACATCCGTCTGTTGGCCAACGTTTTATCTAAGTTACTGAAGATTGTAAGAAATGTAATAAAAAATTCAATTTCTTTCATATCCGGTCTTTGGAAACTTGCTTTATTTGTATATGTATTTTATCAAGTATCCCAAGGCTTTTGTACAAATAAGGTTTTTTTATAAACAAGATATGTTAATATTTAAGGTTGATAGAGATTGATTCCTCAACAGTTCTTCATTGAAGTTGGCGTAATGCTGAAACGTGTCCAAAACCCGCGAGTGAAGGGGGACCCAGTAATTTTTTTTTTTCAGTTTTTCAATTCCGGTTCAGCTTAATAAATTGATCGATAATTTAACGCTTAAAGTTATTGGCTCTTGTCATCTGCTAATATTCATTTTGATTTTATCAATCTTACTTGTTAGTTGATTCATTTTTTTTTCTTTGATTGTTTTATGTTGGGTTTAAGTTTTCGTCTAATGCCCGGGCATAAAACTGGGTATTTACACATAAACAAAGTAAATTTAGATTCAAGAAATATAATTCTTCCCGGAAAAAAAAATAATTTAAGAGAGTGGTCCGGAGAAGGACTTGTAATATTCA